CCTAATGGTTTTTCTCTTCCTCCCCAGAGGGAATTGACTTCTACTACGGCTCCAAGCAGCACGCTCAGAAGATGGTGGACTTCCTGCAGTGCACCGTGCCCTGCAGGTGAGTAATGAGTCAGCGTGTGCTCCTGTTAAAATCATCAACTTTATATAAGACGTGGGTGAAGCCATTCGTCTGAAAAATAAGCTGAGCTAAAGTGGAATGAAGTGTCAGGAGGAACTGCTGCTGACAGAGGAGGCTTCTGTATAAAATTAAACTTTAAATTTATAACATCAGTCAACATCAGTTTGATAGAGTGTTTATGGTTTCCTGCCACAAGTTTCAGGTTGTCTTCAATGAAACATGACATCACCTTTATAACCAATACTGTTCAGAGGAAAATGCACAGTCTGATAGGAGGTGAAGTCTATGGGTGAAAACTGTATGATTGACAGCTGAGTTGTCAAAATGATTGAAGTCCTGGAAACGTTTCACTGAGACTTTAAACAGTTTAGGGAAATGATCTCTGACTTTTTAAATCAAATGTGAACTCACTTTTTTCTTCATAGTCTCCAAGTCTAAAGATTTATTTTTTCTAAATTTCAATCCAGAATCTTAATTATTTGTTACCATTTCTCTACCTCCACCTGTCTCTGCTGTGTTTGCCTTGAGGGAGAAATGATGCAGTAGCTTTGACGCAAACACTTTGTTCTGCTTTTGTTTGGGAAAGTAGTCACTGTAGAGATGGACTGACTGCTGTTTATCTCTTAATATTTGACCTTGAGGTCATGAATAACGAGCAAAAGTGACAATAATGTGAAAAATTTTCCTTTTCCTTTTTTGCCCAAAGATCAAAAACCTCCCAGCGCCTGATATCCCATGACATCCACTCAAACACGTACAACTACAAGAGTACCTTCTCCATGGAGATTGTTCCTGTCTGTAAGGTAAACTACTGAGTTTTTTTCTCTTTCTCTTTTTTCTCTCTTCACACCTCTAGCTCAGATGTTCAACTGAGGTACAGATAAAACCACGAGGCTGTCCAAAAATCTTTCATGTTCTGTTTGTTTTTAATGTCAGGGAAAGGCAATGAAAGAGTTTGAACTCAGGTGTGTGTCAGTCATTCTCAGATGTTGCTCAATCTGCTGAGAGGAGCCTTTGTTCGGTGTGTTTTTAAAATAAATAAACCAACAGCAGAGGTTGTCTATGCACTGTTCACTCATCACCAACAGAACTTTGAGTCGTTTTTGATGTTTAATTTTGTGAACTCTTTACGCTTTATTTCCCAGGACAATGTTGTGTGTCTTTCACCACGTCTGGCTCAGAGCCTGGGGAACATGGGTCAAGTGTGTGTCTGCGTTCGTGTCACCAGCACCATCCACCTCATCGACCCGAACACACTGCAGAGTGAGTGTCCAACTGTTGACCTGAGTTCAGATCAAACGTACCATATTATTACAGCTAAATATAATAATGTGTCTGTTAAAGACTTACGCTTAAGTAAATAAATTACAGACAAGACAGCAATTTCTGGCACATTAGTAACACTGATGCACACCCTGCAGCCCAGTAGGTGGCGATAATGCACCTGAAGTTTTTTCAGGTTTTTTAGACCATGCATTTATTTATTTACATTTCCAAAAAAACGAGTGGTGGTAAATCATAAATACATTTTGCCCATATTTGAAGTAAATATATTTGCAATCCATAGTAGAAGATATTTTAGTAAATTTGACAAGCGTACTTTATTACACACACACACACACACACATATATATATATATTACATATATTACATATTGACTCAACCACATAAAATCAAATTTACAATTTTAGGTTCCTTATTCTGTTGTATAGTATCAGAGTCTTAGTCCAGTCCTGACTGTGAGACTGGAATAAAAACCACTATACCCTGGTGACAATATGTTTATCCTGGGTTAACCCAAAAGCTTCCTTCTGCTCACAGTTACAGAACAGCAGGAGACACTTTGACCAAAATCCCCTTCATTGACTGTGGTCGCTCAAGAAATTCCAGCTCTGTTCATTCAGAGGATTTTTACAGTCAACGTGAATGTGGAGACAATTACTGATGCTGCTTCCTCTTTGTAATCAGTCGTCATGTAAAGAACTGAAACACTCTTTAACAGAAAGCTTAAATTTTGAATGCAGCACACAGACGCACACAAACACACACACGTTTCTAATTACTCTTCAAAGAGCAGGCAAATTCTGTCAGTGAACGTTCTTGAACAGATCAGACTGTGGATACGGCCTGGAGGCGGGCTGAACCTGGGCTGCAGGAGTCATTTTCTTTATCTGGGGAAAATATCTGTTGTGTTGTTAGGTTGTTTGTCTGTTTTCTTTGTGAGAAGTATTTTCAAAATAAAATGTATATGTTGAACTTTTTTTAGTTTGAACCACAATCATAGAACAATACATAAATACTGTCTCAACAGTTGCTGAGGTGGATGGGAACACGTACTGGCGCAACCCATTTTACAGTCTCTCTAACCCACGGCAAATGGAGGAGTTCATTGTCATGGACATTGACATCATCAGAGACCAGAAGCTGGGGGCTGGAGCAGGCCTCAGGTCAAACAAGGTTTGTTTCAGGTTTCTTAGTGTCTTAAAGTCCGATGCTTATATTTACCTGGATTATTAAGCTGCACAGTATAAACTGTAGTTGAACAACTGATGCTGTTCACATCAAGGATCAGCCATGACTTTACTGAAACTGTCAGGGTTCAACTGAAGAACCAGCAACCTAACCAAACAACCAGTAACAGAAAGTGAAGTCGATTCAATTTGCCTTTTTTTTTTTAATATGTTCCGTGTTTTACAGCACACTCTGGCTGAGGTGTGGGTTCAGAAAACAGCAGAGATGGACACCAGTCAGCAGTATCACTGCCGGACCTTCCTGGGTCACCTGCTCAACATCGGAGACCTTGTGTTGGGGTAAGTGTGAAGGACTGTGAAGGAGAACCATCTGGGTAAACACCCAGAGTTTAATGTAGTTCCTTTGTTTAGCCTCAATTGAATCTTTAAGAGTTTTTGAAGAGCTCTTTGTGAGAAGAACACAGTTATAAACCCTGGTTTTCAATGTGGATTTTCATAAAAGTATTAATCTCCATGACACCAGACAGAACCACAGAGCCTGTGCTGTCAAAGCAGGAGTGACTCCAGCGTCTCACTGATGTGGCTCTGTTCGTCTCCAGAATTGATTTCAACGTCTGTCTTTAGCAGCTGGGAAACTGTCACCTCACATTTGAGTTTTTTTGGAATGCTTTGAATCATCAGTACTTTAATTATACCGCAGCTTCATAAATAATATAAACTGGATGACAGTAAAGAGCTGTAACTTATGAACTATTTGATGAACGGTACTCATCACTTTTCTTTCAGCTTTGACTTTGCCAACTCCAACGTCAATGATGAGCATCTGAACAAGATGAACCCTCACCATGTTCCTGATGTGGTAAGACTGCTCTCTGCATCTTCACTAGTATATTCACCTGGGGGTCCAATTTCATTTAGTAGCCTATTCAGAGTTGTCCGACACTGATCTCTAGTGGCAGCGTCGGGTACTTGCTCTAGATGGGATCTTTTTTGTTTGCTAAGTAAAAAAAAAACATTTTAACAGCCCTTCATGTACACTGCATGTATTAAATTCAGTCTCAAAACTCATGAAAAGGTGCTGATTAAGAAGAGCTACGACCGCAGCAGGAGGGTGAAGCGCAGGAACTGGAAGTTACAGGAGATGTCCAGAGACAGAGAAGGCCTGGACACAGATGATGAGAGGTGAGTTTTTGTTCTACAGCCAATGGTGAACCTCTGCAAAAAGCTTTGTCTTGATTTAAATGCACCTCTTCCTCCAGACTCGTCTTTTCTCATGTTGCTAAACTCGGTGTAAAAATGATGTATGTGTTTTCTGTCTTCAGACAATACCAGGACTTCCTGGAGGACCTGGAGGAGGATGAGGCTCTGAGAAAGAATGTCAACATCTACAGAGGTGAGTAGCTGCTCACAGCAGAGTTACTGCCGTAGAAGTTTTCCAAGAGCCTGGTGTAGATGAGAGTTTCTGTGTCTGTGATGCAGCAGCTCATTTACAGTCACCTCTTGCTTCAGCAGCTGACGGAGCTTGTAGTTAATTATGGATGATTTAGTGGATCCTTAATCAAAGCAGGCTGACATGTTGATGTGTTTTTGTAATTTCTTTCTATTTTTAATATTAGATGCCTCAAAGATCCCGGTGGAGAGTGATACTGATGATGATGGAGCGCCTCGTATTTCCCTGATGGAGATGCTGGAGGAGCTCAGTTTATCAGATGCCACAGGAGAAGAGGGCACTGACATGATGACAGACTAACCTGGTCATCATCCTGCCCGCGTGGTTGTGACAGCTGATCAGTCAGATACACAGGTCCACTGATCACACAGTGGTACAGTGGCAGATAGAGCAGTGATTCAACCACCAAAGGAGGACATGTCAGAAAAACAAACACATTTTCACAGATAATAAACGTATTTCATCTATAGTCTGTGCATTAAAACTCTTCAATTTACTGACAAACACATTTTAAAAATATATATATTACAAACTGAGACATGATATGGAAATCGAAACAAAATAAATATTTTCCCTGTGCATATTTTTTTGCACAGTGGTACTACAGTACATGAAGTTTATCCAAGGGAAGATTTAGACTGCTTATAACATGAAGACAAGTATACAAGAGACTTTAATTGCTATTGTTTTTCATACAACAAAATATATATTGCATTTTGAGGTAGTAATAAAATAATACTACAATTGGTACTTAAATTGATTTGTAAAACCAACCACAGAAAGTGGGTCATGATGGCTTTAGGAAGGTCAAAATTCCTGACTACTTGTTGAGCACAGGATATGGAGACACATGCCCCCTTGTGGCTGACCAGTATTGCTCGGTATTTTGGGCTCACCTTTGCCCCCTATGGTCACCACATGCAATATTCCCTCCCTAGTTCCGTTACTCTTCACTCTGGATCCACAACTGCGGTGTTTTTTTTACCAACGCAATTTAAAGACACATTCAATACCCGTATATACCACTTGGGGGAGCTCAAGTATGTTGAGTTCTGCTCATCCTACTGAAATCTCTTAATGTGAGTCAGGTCCCTCGTGTTCTTTAATGGAGCAATAGGATACGTTTTTTTAGGCTTAACTCTTGTGTGTTACACAATCCAGAGCTCTGGGTCAGATCTACAGTTCCCTGACAGACAACATAAGACGTCAGTTCACTAGGTCTGACCAACTGTCACTCCTAGACCCAGGTTTGTAAGCGTAACAGACAGAGTTGTGCACACCAGCGTTGTCCTCTTCTGATTGGATGTCCTTGTCCTACTCAGGATCTCACTTCTGCTGTTGCTGGGCCCCCGTTCTGAAACTCAGTGATTACTGTCACATTTATCACTCAAACACACACTATATCATAGGAAGTTGTTTTGTTCCTCAGCTGCCATGTTATCTTTAACAACAGGGAAGATATTGATATTGTTTCATTCACTTTTATGATACAATAATTTCACTACTAATTAATCATAAGGCACTAAAGTTTTCACTAACATCTACTTACAAGTAGCATCAGTGTATGTGCTGGTACTGTGTTTGAGAGACCTCCCAAAGAGATCTGGGCAACACAAAACCTGGTTTAGTTTTAGGCCTTAAGAGAGTTCAACTGTGTTTTTTCACATGATAAGAATGAGAGAAGGTTGAAATTAATCTGGGATTATTTGACAAGGTGTTTACTGCACTGTATTTGGAGGTTTTCTTCTAACCTTTTAATGTGTTTTATGTGTGTATTTCATAGAGAAAGATATTTTTATAAGTTAAGTCCTTGACATGTGCCTCAAATTCTGACACTGAAGAGGGAGGAGGAGGAGGCGAAGCAGGCGGCAGCCACCTATATCCTTGTCTTGTTTTTCACAGACCTGAGACGGTGGTTAACAGTAATCAGATCCACTTGGGAAAGTAAATGTAGTGAATCCCCTCAGGCTGTGGATATGTGTGATTGTGGGGTCAACAGCAACAAAGGACAGCAGTTTCACCTCCTTTTTCTCCTGATCACCCTCCCGTTGACCTCTTTTTCCTCACCAGCTGAGCACACACTGATCCTTCCTGATCCCAACACAACAGCCTCTGTACACTTCACCTGGAATCGAAGACTCACTGTCCTGTTATCAGAACAACCTGTTCCTTTTGCCACTTTGCTTCAACAAAACAGTAGCCATCCTGGCTGGAGAAGCTGTTTATCTAATTTGAATGGTGATTTCCAAAGTCACTGTTGCACAGCAGGTCGGGACAGGCCACAGCTTTTGACAACAAACCTTCACAAAGCCTGACAGTGTGCACGGCAATGACAAGTTCAGACTGTCGTCTCTCACCTCTCCTGGTTCACTGGGCCAAAACAGTGGTAAAGTGTGTCCATGTGTGACCTGCAGGCTACAGCGACTCTGCCTGTGTTTACACATCAATAATGCATATTGTTGTGAAGTGTAAGAACTGAGGAGGTCAGCAAAGCCATGGGAGGATACGCAGGGCTAAGGTTACTTCACTGTATGTCTGACTGCTCCAAAACAAAGAGACACCTTCTTAGCTCATGCTTAAATTTCATTCCTGTGGAACAAGGTTTTTTTTTTACTTTGTTTTGGTTTCTTGGAAAAAAACCCACTTTTTTTGACAAAATTTTAAAATTTAAATCCAAACCTAACCTGGATTTAATGTCCAATATTTCGTCCTGCAAAGGTAAAAAATGTCCAACAAATGTTTTTCTGTTTCAAGCTAGGCGTCATGTCCCTGAACCAATCTGTCACTCTGACTGCACATCTTACCACCATTTCACGAGTTTATGCCCCCCGCACCACTCTTGCACAGTATCCTTACACAGTAAAAACAGTTCCTCTGAGGTCACTGAAACAGTCCCATTTACTGACAACTACAAAAAAGATCATTTTGCCAAATCAGAAATGTGAGAATGCAGAGTTTCCAGCTCACCCTAACAAGATAAATATTTGTGAGTTGTTTCAACGGTGGTTTTCAGACATTATTATACTGTGGAGCCTGGAAATGTTTTATCGCACCACCAGCAAGACCTACACTGTTTTGGGGACCACCAAATTTATTCCTGATAAATTCACGAGACCATTTACCAGCCAAATTCATGCCACAAAAGCAGCACAGAAACCAGCACTTTTTAAATTTAAAACAACAAAGTACACATCCGTTATACCTAAAGTAACATTGTCATTACCTTGAACCAATCTGTCATTCTGAGTGCACAGCTCAGTACTATTTGTTTTCCTGCGTGTACATCCTGCACTATTCACCTTCCACTTCCTTTTACAATAAAAACAGTTCCTCTGAGGTCACCCTGACTTCAGCTGTCCCAACCCCACGAAACACAGTGAATCTTCTTTTAACCTTCACTTTATTAGTACTCCCTTTTAATGTAATGATGGTGAGATGCAACGCAGTACATTTATGTGCATGTGAGCATGCCGTTGTTGTTGTTGTTGTTGTTGTTGTCTCCCGTGCAGCACAGCTCCTGCTGCTCCTGCGGCTCCTGCAGCTCCTGCTGCTGCTTCAGCCTACGTCAGAGGGATGGCACTGCGGCGCAGGATCGCTCTGCAGTACCGCCGTTGCTGCTTCTGTCTGTGGGAAGGATGCGACACTGCACTGAGTGAACAAAGTTTAAAGATGCTGAACAGCTCGGCAGTTGCAGCAGCAGCAGATGAGACCCAGGCACCGAGCTGCCCCTGCTGGACTCCAGTGTTTGTGGAGAAACACGCGTCGCTCTCTTTACCTGCATGATCTGTGTGAGCCAGGTGAGTGGTTTAATGTAAGCACGAGTGGTGGGTGTGGTGTCGCTGTCTCAGCTGTGTGTGTGTGTGTGTGTGTGTGTGTTACACACAGATCCAGTGCCAGTGTCAGACTGGTGAGGCAGCTATTCACAGAGCAGAAGGAGGAGGAGGAGGCTGTTAAAGTGTTTCTGAGGCTCACTCTGTTCTTCACCTCCATCATCCATCTGCAGAAGGACCGAAGATCTGACGGCAGCTCAAGGTGAGTCAACACCCGCACAGGCTCTAACTTAGACACCGACTGCACCGAACCTTCATGTGGACACTTAACCGTCAGCGAGGCTGAGCTCCAGACTCAATGTGATGAGAACAGTGCCAAGAACTCAGCATTAGTATTTGTACCTGGTACTACTGGGACCTCAAAAAGTCAATCTTTGATCTAAGTGTCCTCAACATAAGGGGCCAAGCTTACTGAATGCACACCTGAAGGGAAACTTTATAATAGTAATTAACCTTCCACATGTTATAGTAAATAAGTAGGTCAGAGTGGAGGTGTTTATGAAGTTAGAACCTGAACTTGAGCTTCAGCTCACCAACTTTTCTGCAGGCTGAAGTGAATCGGTTTGGTTGTTTGTCCGTGTCCAGTGTCTCTGCAGACAACAACAGTCTCCGTGCAGGAAGTCCTGTGTGGACAGTAGTGCAGAAACAGGACGTGCCTCGCTGCTGTTACTCTATCTGCTGTGAGTAAATTCTAGATAGGCAACGCCTGCACTTGTAGCAGCACCTGTTGGCCCCGCCCCCACCTGTGCGGCAGCTTCTGTTATAGCCACAGGCAACTTCAACCTTAATTATAGTACACACACAGCTCTGTGGAAGGTAGTGGAAAAACTTTGACCTTAAACACCAGGGGGGCACCTCTAAGCCCCCCCCTGCTCCCCTGACCTTACAGTGGTGACAAAGATATGGCCCGAGGGCAAAATCAGGGTTGGTGAAACCCCTAAATAGTAAAGACATTTAAGGTATTTTATGAAGTATTTACCCAGTGCTTTTCGTACAGACCTGTTATTTCCCAAATTACATTCCAGGATTTACTTTGCATAACTGCTCAGTGTTCGACTCCCGGTGATAACTGTTTTTCCATGTTGTAGAGTTTGCAGGTTTTTTTTCCCCCTCAAACTGACTACATAAATAACTAAAGTACTACGGTGTAGTATGGTGTACTGTGATGTATTTTAGAAAAAAATATGTATTTATGAAAAAAAATCATGTAGGTAAAGTTAAAGTATTAATTTGTGTACTATGCTGTTTTGCAGGAGTTTCTCTTTCTCCTCCTCCTCCTCCTCCCCTTCCTCCCCCTTTTTTTCGTCTTCATGCACAACATAATCTCATTAGCAAGTGTCCCGTGTGTGCAGACACATGTATGTGTAACTTGTGAAAATAAGTGTGCTCAGGAAAATTTGTTGTGTGTTACTGCTGCACCCCTGGGTTTAATTTCATGGGTATTTCTCTATCTGCCCCGCCGTGTGCTCTCTGGAGCTCTGTTGATTGCCCCCACAGGGCTCTGCTGAGGGCCAGGAGCAGGAGGAGAGCATTCTATTTCCTCTCTCCTTAATTAATGAACAGACGCAAGGGTTTCAGAGTTAGATTTGAAGGTAAAAGTGTGGGATTTTACAGCGTGTTAAAGTAGTCGTGGTTGAAGTTTTGAAATCATCAATAGAAAACCATATTATCTGGGATCTACTTTAATCAAAGGTGTTGTGCCGACTCTGTTTGAGGTCCTCTTACGAAACTCGTCTGGTCTTCAGATGTCGAGTTAGCGAGAAAACATCCCAAGCTTTTAGTAATAATGGTTTAGAATCTACATTTTGGGATAATATTGGGGCATGCTGTACCACTCACAGTAATCTTTTTTCACTTCTTTGGGTGCGACTGATGCCTCAGCATCCCTAGGATGGTTGTTCCTTAAACATGTTCTATAAATACTCCTGATGTTTTTAGTATAAATACAAATGCAGGGACAGAGATGGAGTGTGTTTACAGTCACACTCCTGCTGAGGTCTGTGTGTCTGTGGTGTTATTATTACAGTCACATTCACACCTTCTCTTCCTTTCTTAAATCTTCTCCCTCTGTTCGTCTCCATCTTTGTTTTTGTTTTTGTTTTTGTTTTTTGTATTTTTCTCCATCCAGCCTGCAGGATGAACTTCAAGAACCTGAGGGAGTACTTGGCCTGGCTGTACTACCAGTACCTGCTCATCACCGGCATCTACGTCCTGGAACCCTGGGAAAAGTCCATTTTCAACTCCATCCTCTTCTCCGCCATCGCCATGGTGGTGTACACCTCCTACGTCTTCGTGCCCATCCACGTGCGCCTGGCACTGGAGTTTTTCTCGGGGATTTTTGGTGGACAGCCCGAGAGTACGATGACGCTGATGAACTGAAGAGCAGGAGGCGAATTTGGAGGAATTTTGAGAGGGTGGCCTAGCATGAGACACCGAACCATCGAGCAGCTTGTCACGACTTAACGCATGAAGATGTTCACGGAACAATCTGGAAAACCGAGCCTTACTTTCATCTTTACATCCAACACCTTCTGGCCTTACCCCACGGTATTTGACACTCCCTGTGAAACGATGTTTGTCCTGAGTGTTTTTGTTTAGTTTTTTTTTTCTTTCACATACATGTGTTTTTGTACGTGTTTGTGTGTGTCCATACCACCTGTCTGTTTTGCATGATAGGCACATTAGCAGTAGATTTGCATGCTCGTCCTACTCCAGAACACTACCAGAGTCTTTTCCCTCCATCATGAGCTCCACTCGTGACTAAAACTAAAACGACTCACGGTGATTTATAGAAGAGCAGCTGTGGTAACAGCTGGAAAACCGGACAGATGTTACATTTGTGTTTTATATATATAAAAATACAAATTCACCTAAAAAAATTAAAAACGTAATATCGTCCTTAGCTAGATCAGGAGAGTGTAGCTGTGTTATGTCTAAGACTCCAAACATGTCCATTAAACCAGACCGTTACAGCACCATTCAAGAGCCATCGTGGCTCACAACGAGTGACTCAAGGATGCTTTTAAATTTCCGTCCCATCATGTCTTCTGTCCACACGTCTCAGTAGAGATCATGTGTGCAGGAATTCAAACAAATATTCTTTTATTATTTACTGCAAAAGAGTAGCAATCCTTAAAATGTCGTAGTATTTACAAATACAATGACAAAATATCATATTAACTCTGATCAGTGGTCAGTTTAACTGGTTTCCTGTTGCCCCAGTTAGGTCCCAAGGCCTAGTCCCTGTGTGTCTTTCATATATGACACACAGCATTGTGCAAATGTTGAGGTTTGTGCAGTGCAGTGTTTTCCCCCTTTTTTAAGAATTAAATGATTTAAAGAACACAACACTTGTTCTCAACACAAAATATTAATAAAATATATTATTAAGTCTTTTATTATTGAACATAACATTTAAATCAATGTTTAAAATTTGTCAGATTTGGTTTGGATTTCTTTGGTACTTTACATTATTTTTTGGTAATGTTTGCTAACGTTTAATCTTTAACTATCTCTGAGTATTTTTCTTTGAATTGACTTTGCAGAGGTTTGGCCACACTTTCAACACTTGCCCTTATCAAATCTGTGATCCCAGAATGCTTTTCACTGCCTGCCCTGCAGTAGGCAAACAGTCGTGAAGTAACGCAGCCTACATGGCAAACAGTACAGGGGATATGCGTGCAGTAGAACTTTATCTTGACATTTCCACACTGCGCCGAAATTCCCCGTTGTGTAACTTTGAAGAACAGGAATGCAGGAAATTCACGGTCGTTTTCCACCCAAACAGAAAATATCTTAATTTCTATGACTTTATTTACTACTGAGAAAAAAATCCATCTGCCTATTAAATGGAGAGCAGTGGTTTAAAGGATGACCGTAGAAAAATACTTTATTATCATGTCCATGTTTTCTCTGATATGACATGACCTCAACATTTACACCGTGGACCTGGTTTAAACCGGTTCTCAGAAACGTCACGTTAATCAAAAATACATCATTAAAGCGTTCACATTAGTCGAAAAGTGAGTCATTTTGACAAGGTCACTCTATTGTATTATTATGGCTGGTTTTACAAAATGAACCACATTTGGCAGTAAACTGGTTTAAATCGAGGGCGGGCTTTATAACGCCCGGTCCAGAAATGATTGACATGAAGTGTATTTTCATTCTTAGGACAATTGCCTGCAGACTTACACAGAATTAATATTGCTGACAGACTGAAGGCTCATCATGTTTACATAAATCACTGAAGGCTGCATCTCTAACAAAACCTCTACAGTTGCTACGTTGTCGTCACATCAGCCTAACTTCACCCTGACCCCAGCACTAAGGTTGACACAGTGGAATACAGACACAGACACAGTACGATGAAACATTAGTATGTTAGTATTAGTTTTTTAGTATTAGTATTAGTATTACGCAGAAAAAAAAACAGGCAAAGAAACTCATGTTCATACATGTTGGCTTCACTGTGTATGAAGTGGTTGGTGATTGGTAATTATTCACTCTAAGATGAGTGTGAATGTAATGTAATTCACACACGTAGTTTTGAAACTGAAGCCTTTGACAGGATAACGATAATGTAAGGAGGCCAGAGTTTTCCTGGAGGTATTATAATCTTAAAAAATAAAACTTGGAGTCCATGTTTCCAGCCCAAACTATGTAATTACTCTGATGAAGTCACAGTCAGGGATGTGTGAGTGCGAGCGTTCGCTGAGCCTCTCCTCTCTTCTCTGACGTGTCTGAAGTGTAAACTGCTGGAATGTCAGGAAGTGGTGCTCAGCACTGAGCATGAGCAAATATTGATAAGGCACACCTTTATGTTCCAGGCTGGGCTTCGTTAATGATGTGGCGCAGCTCCATCCTGCAGCCGCTGAACTCGGAGCCCAACTGTTTGCTGCCAAATTCAAAACACAGTCAAAACAAAGACTGAATGAAAAGAAAGGGACAGATGTGTAGACACTGGCGGGGACAGAGGAGACGTCCTGGTGTTTCTGGTAGTGGTGATGAGCATCATTACTTTGGATCTAGGTCTTTCTAATGACCGTCTGAACGTGCTCTTTAATTTGAACTTATTTATAAGTACTTGTATTTATTTACACTGGTAAATGCTTGGCTGGTTACAATGTCACTTACCAAATGTTGTTGATTATTTGTACCTGTGTTCTCACATGGCCATAAAACTACACATTGTTATATCTTTCTCTTTGTTTTCTTCTTCTTCTTCACTCTGCATGTCAAACTATAAAAGTGATTTTTTTTATATATATATTTTTTCAATTTGTGTTGTTTAATGTCACTTCTGTCTCATGGTGTTTTCGTTTGTTCTCCCGTCTTTCACTGATGATTTTATTTATACATGAAAACAACACACTTCTGTGATATGTGGAAAATAAAAATGTCCGCAAACACTGGGACAAAAGTTCTGTCTCTATCTGCTGTTTTTGTTCAGTGTGAATGGCATCCTGCAGTCAAATAAAATAAAATAAAAAACCTTTTGTGAAGGGCATGTTGGTGTACTTTCCTCTCCTCATCTTAGAGTTTCTTCAGCTTAGACTTCAGTGTGAATGCCAACCTACAGTTGAGGTGAAATACCAAACCAACCCCCAGTCTGTGGGCAGGACATGTTGGACACAATGGTCTGTACCACATCAAGTCAGTGAAGACAATAACAGGCAGAGCCACCAAACCGGTCCTGCTCTTATGGTGCAGTGAAGAAATGAATGGCCCTGGGCTCTTTTTATTTTCACACTATTCCATGAATCTATAGATTACTGTTTCCACTCCTCTTCTCTTCCCTTCTCACCCCCCCTTTTCTCTGTCCCATTCTCAACCCCTTCTACCCTCACTCCTTTCCTTTCCTTTCCTTTCCTTCCCTTTCCTTTTCTTTCCTTTCCTTTCCTTTCCTTTCCTTTCCTTTCCTTTCCTTTCCTTTCCTTTCCTTTCCTTTATCTGTCTGTCTTTTTGCCTGAGGGGAACTGTTTCATTGTTTACACTTGACCTTTTGACTTGTATTACACAGGTATAGAGGTCAGAGTTTATCTCCATAATAACATGGTGTAAACAGAGTTTTCTGCTGACTCACACACTCTGTAAACACACCCGGGGGTGGGGGGTGAGTGGAGGGGTATTGTTTATAATGTGTTTACTGTTGTCCCATGACCAATTCTCACAGTTAAGACAAAGGCAACTCCTGGCAACTGTGGTGTCCAAGGACGCCACAGTTGATAATACAAGATACTACTGGGTGTATTTACCTGGTCGACACGTACCACTGTTTACCTCAGTCTGGTGAGAAAATACAAAATTTGTACTGTGGTTAACAGTTAACGAGGTACAGAGGCGTCTATCGAGGTACTCGCTCCTGTTGCTTAGCATTTGTGATACTATTTTGTGGACATTAAGAGCTAAAAAGTAAAGTAGCAGGTTTGACTTCCATGATATGAATCAGGAATCTGTTGAAATGTGAAAATACAGAATATTTGAATGTAAAAGGAGGATCCACCTGTTACTAGAGCATTGCTGGTTCGAATCCATACTGAAAGCAATCACTGCCCAAGAATTAGTAAATCGGTAAAACGCAGAAGACAAGTATTGTTGTGTATACAATATACGTGCCTGTACATGTGCAATGACAGTAATGGTTTTCAAACCTTAATCATAACCTTCCAGCTCCTGCCTTGGCTCTTTGTGTTGTATTCAGACATACAATCAGACATAATAACATAAATGTGCACACATGTATAGTCACATAGGTGTGTGTATGATCTTGACCTTGAAGTCATGTGACCCAGTCCACTTTGGTATTTTACATGTAATTTACACACATTATTCTATACTTTGTTTTGATAATATGTATTATTTACCTATACATGTACTTCATTCAAATACTTGATGTAAATACAAATACAGATACAAGCACCCAATACCCTGATACAGTGCCCTCTGTCTTCCAGTTCAAGTTGGATTTACTGAAACCCAGCCTGAAGAAGTATCCATAACAGTACTCCAGTATTGGTATGTGCACAAATGAAAATACTCTTATGCGTACCGGTTTGTAATCTTAGAATTTTCCAGTTCAGTGATTGGATGTTTGTGTGTGTTTAAAGTGAAACCTTATATTGTCCACAGGACCGTTCTTCGGTTACATGTTCCGTTAACAAAGATCAGAACCACAGCTTTAGCACCGTGTACTATGGGTTCATTTAATGGCTTTGGAAGTGATGAACATTGTTTGAACTGCAGTTGTGTGTCTGGTTTTACTGTGTTTCAGGTGTAAATTCTGGTTCAGACATTTCCTGCAAGTGGCAAAAAAAGAATGACAGAAAAATGTTTTCTTTCTCTTGCATTAGCCGTTATTGGATACACATTTGTCATAAATGAGATTAGAGTTGAACAAATGCGCTGGGGATTGTTCTGCTGATCCAAAAGTAAATCTAATGACACCCAGAGTGATCCAGATTTTTTGAATGTGATTTGGGAACATAATCAAATTCAGGTGAGTAACAGGATCTGAGGCCTGTGTTTGGATTATAAATCACACTTCACGTCACATCACATTTCTCTTATCGCTCCATCTCTTTTGTGTCCAACCGGTGTTGTATGGTGGCATTTAGAAGGATTAGGCAACTCATGTCATTTTGGCATCGAAGAAAGGAATTCAGCTCACGGCACTCCCGTCCCTGAAATCCCATAACTGAGATATGAATCAGTCAATATGATCCTAGGAGTGGCTGCACTGATAAAATGATCTCAGCAACGCATGAAACCACAGATGGAGCCAAGCCCTGCAGAAATAATAATAAAAAATCAATAGACTTTCACTGCACAGGAAAATGCAGTTGGTTTCACGACATTGTTTGTGATTTTCACTTTAAAAAAACATAACGAATACGGAAAAAATGTAATTTTGAAACGATTTATTTCATGACTTTTCTATGGGTATCATCGCGTTTGTTGAAAATCACAATAAATAATTCAACGTATCCGTAAGGATACCTGTTGATGAAAAAACAAGCCTGCCACCCAGTGGTTACATAGAAGAATTAACTCTGTGGAGATGAAAATATTTTTAAGGCTTCTTTGCACTGATGATAATTGTTACATGTATTATTTATTGACTTATTGACACTTAAAATAAAAAATAAAAAATTAATAGGAAACACTTCAAAATGACCCACTGTTGAACATTAAAAAAATTAGGAAAACCTTTTATAATTTTGAATCCGCTCAGTGATAACCAATCACAGTGAAGCAGTATTTTGATAGGCCTCAGTTCACGGCTGCTGCCAATTAAGGTGATTCTGACTCGAACCACAGTAAAGTTTCGCTTTTCCTGTTTCTCTCAGGCCTGGTTTCATGGTAACATTTCAGTCGAACTTCAGGACACATGTTTGTGAACTAAGGTTCATAGTGAAGTTAGTCGAAATGGAGTGAAGAAAATAAGGAACTTTAGTGTCTTTTACCAGGAACTGGACGTCAGTCACAGACGACAGAAAAGACAAGAAAAAACTAGTCATGGAGGCCGTTCATTACCAGAGCCAGGGAAATGGAAAGGTACTGTTTTTTTTAAAGGTTAATTATGAAAGTGGAGAATCATAAAATTATAAAATTAAGTATCAGCAAAAAACAAAAAAGTAGTGATTGCTCTTTCTAGACTCTTCTCTGTCCCCAGTGAAGGGGAGACCTGCTGCTGCTGCATCAGCTGTCAGTCCACCTGACAGAAATATACTGAATACTATCAACAGTAGGCGATAGTATGCAATATATATATATATATATATATATATATATATATATATATATATATATATACATATATACACACACACACAGTATATATGTAATTTAAATGCATTTGACTTAATGATGAAAGTAAACAGTGAAACCAAAAAGTAAACAAAGAAGAAGAAAACAATTATATTCTATTTTAAACTTTTTATTATTGGTCACTCTCCAGGTAAAGTACACATCATTATTGCAGAATCAGGCTCAAAAATATAAAATATACATACTGTATGACAACACAAAAAGTCCCAAGAAACACCTGAGATAAACACACACTGACCTCAGATTGTGGAGAGTGTCCAGGAATATTTTCATGTTTGATCTGACTGTGTCAGCGTTGACTCCCAGAGCTGCTGTGAGACGTTCACTGTCGTCATCACATGTACAGTACAAGCTCCACAGACGTCAAACAGGATTCTTATTGTTTATTTAGATGGGACATTTTTTAAAAAAATGATTGTGTTTTATTGTGTGTATGGCTGCTGCCATTCATCCTCTTTAACTCAGTGTACACACATTTACTTCAACATCCTTACCTGACCAGGGGTTAGAGAGAAGTAATACATCTGCTGTGACCTCCTCTGTGCTCCGCTGCATCTGCTGCGTGAGTTAAGGTTCTGCTCCTGGAGTTAAATGAACAGACAGGTGAGAGGCGCCTGGGTCCTGAGTGAGCAGCTGAACACTGTAAGCTGACCGCCGCTGTTGTGTGTGGTCTGAATGGAGGGGTCGGCTAAGAAGAAAGCCCACGGGACCCTTTCCTCTCTCACAGGACTGGGCTGCAAACCTTACACTCGGTCTGTTTTTTTCTCTGATTTAGGGGCAAGTCAAGGACACATCACCTGAGCTCCTGGGAAGAAGGAGAAGGAGGAAAAATGTAAAGGGAGGAAAAGAGATAAAGACGTGTAGGAGCAGAGAGACGGAGTTCAAACAAAGACAATCTCCATCCCCCCCTTCCCTGTCCACCAAATTAATTTGCTTTCTTCCTGTTCCCTCATAGCTGGTCACTGATCTCCCTGAGGTCCATGACCAGCTGAAGCGTGTCCTGCTCCTCCAACATTCATTTCCAGTGGAAAGTTGAAGGTTGCCAGCAAACAACTTGCCAAAAATCACTTTTTGACAAACGCCCATTGCTCTCCTGTTACGCCGAAAAGAAGGAGTCATTGTGCTGCCACACAGTATAAATCATAGTTAGCAAATGTCGCCGCCAGTGGTATGTTCGGGTTCAAGTGGGGAAAGTTGATCAGAGCGAGCGGGCGAGCATCACAACTGCCGTGATTTAAGGCTGATAGGCTGCTTCCTCACCAGCAGCTGTGGTTCAGTGGCCATGGAGAGAGGAGATCAGTGATCTTCAGACTCCAGCTTTCCTCTAGATGTTCATCAAATACCAGCAGAATGGAGTTACTAAGCTGACTGAGCTCCGTGCCAGTGTGAAGATCCTGTTTTAAGCCATTTTAAATTAGTTCTCGCCTGTTTGTCAGAAAGGTTCACCTGCGTATTTCCTTAGAGAACAATATGATAAAAGGTTTGAATCCTGTCTGCAGCTACACACAAGCACAATCGCACACCTGATAGAGACCACTGTAGTTCACTGGCCTCTGTCAGGGACCCCTCTTTACCTGGTATTGTCCCACCACAGGAGCCTGGGTAGCAGGTTGGATGTTGGAGAAATGCCTCAGATATCAGGTGACCAGTTGCCCCACGGCCTTTGCTCCTCGCCCAGCTCGCAGTGATGGAGAGCTCCTGGCTGCCGCTGTATCCCGTGTCACAAAAGCACCTTTCTACACAAGAGGGGTACAGAGAATGGGCCACAGCACACTGGTTCGCCTTGGGTCGGATCCAGCCCGCCGTAGTTGGATTTCAAGACCTCCCCCACTGCTGCAGGAGAACACTTTCATTGGTGGGGATGTTCTTTCAGCCCTAACCTGGCAAAGATATCAGAGCAGAGCTGGAACTTTGGATCTGAGACACCGAGGAAGGATGAAGGACCACACTGCACGTCTCTGGGTGAGTCCCGTCCGTTGTGCGGGCATTTCCTCTGATATAAATCATTCTAGAGCTTTATGAGATCATTTTTTAATTGAGCTCACACAACACTGTGACAAATCAGAGCTGTGACAAGAAGACAGACAGAGATGACTTGTAGTTGAAGTCCAGTCTCCACCGGCTGTCATTGGAGACGTCTCGTTATTAGAGTTTGTCAACGGTCCACAGTCTGTATGTGATTTGACTTGATTAAAAAAACAGGTCACCTGTTCAATAACAGATGATGTTGTTGTAAATTATAGCGGTACATGTCGGTTCTTACTAATGTGGCTGTGGTACGTGTCCTACAGCGGCGGTGGTGAAATGTGTGAAGTGTGAAATCTGGGCCTGTTTGGTTGAACACCATACTGATATACAGGAATTAAAGAAATACACAAACAAAGATATAGATGTTCAGCAGCTGAGTCGTGCTTCTTTTCATTTTTATAACAATTTGCTGCCACCTTGTGGAATAGTAGTCTTAGACGAACAAGATTTACTACATTTCCATAAATGGTTCCACCTCCGTCTGTAAATCAGTTCTGTGAAGGATTAATGTTTTTAAACTTTTCCATTTTTCCTGTATCTAAAATTAGATGAAGGATTAAAATCCCTGCTGTAAATAGGAACAAAACAAAGTCTGCAGCGTGAACTCCACCAACCATGAGGATCATCTGGAGTCAGCTGACCATCGTGGCTCTAGTCGTGGTCTCTCTCACTCTGTTGTGCTGCGCCGAGGCAAAGACGACACCGAAGCCCAAGTACACAAAGAAACCAGTCTCTCAGATCACGGTGCACAGCCCTGTGACCACCAACGTCCCCAAGACTCTCAAGATACTGCCCACGGCCCCTGTGGAGCCCCAACCAGCACCTGGCCAAGGTCACAACTTACCTCAGATGCACTCTGGGAGCACTGCCCCCCCTGGTGTTGGCCTTGATAACTACACCATGGATTATAATGAATGTTACTTTAACTTCTGTGAGTGCTGCCCCCCCGAAAAAGGCCCCAGGGGGGCAAAGGGAGACACTGGATTGCCGGGTGGGTTTATCAGTAATAAAATACAATATTAAAAAAAATATATACAGACCAATGTACTTGGAGGGACATTTTTTAAAATTATTTTTTTGTTTTTGTAGGGCCACCAGGTGAGAGAGGCCTTCAAGGAGCTGCTGGGTTACCAGGACCAGCGGGTGTGATCGGTTCTGTGGGACCAAAAGGAGCCAAAGGTTATATTAATATATAAAGAGACAAATGGACTGGAAGAAAGGCACTGATTCAGACTGATCTTGAATTCTTGAATGTCCCAGGTGACAGAGGAGAGAGAGGAAACATGGGGGCAGCGGGCCCACCAGGAAGCCCAGGAAAACCAGGACTAAAAGGTAAGTCTGTAGGTATTTCTGGTACTTTATATCTTTAGTCCTCAGTATATGAGACCCTTTTCTTTGTCACAGGTGACTTTGGCTCAAAGGGTGAAAAGGGTGATTTAGGTCCACAAGGACTCAGAGGGAGCAGTGGCGACAAAGGAGAACCAGGCCAGAAAGGAAACACGGGGGACAAAGGAGAACCAGGACTAGAGGGACCAGCAGGACCTCCAGGAGTGGCTGTTGGTCAAGGCCTTAAAGGAGACAAAGGAGACAGAGGGGACTGTAGTTCATTAGGAGAGAAAGGAATGAAAGGAGAGCAAGGAGAACCCGGACCCTCGGGCATCCCTGGAATGATGGGCATTCCAGGAATGAACGGTAAGCACGGAGCCCCTGGGCCTGTTGGTATCCGAGGAGACCAAGGACCGCCTGGTCCTCCAGGAGAACCAGGAGTAAGAGGGTCTCAGGGTCCACAAGGCATTCGGGGGATGCCCGGTCCAAAAGGAGACAGAGGTTACCACGGGATGAGAGGTGAGCGAGGCATTCGAGGAATGAAAGGAGCCAAAGGGTCGGGGGTTCCCCAGAAACACTCGGCCTTCAGTGTGGGAATCTCTCCAAGAAAATCCTTCCCTCCCTCTGGATTCCCGGTCCGCTTCGACAAAGTCTTCTACAACGACGAGAACCACTTCAACGTGACTTCAAACAGCTTCACCTGCGTCATCCCCGGCGTCTACGTCTTCTCCTACCACATCACCGTTCGCAACCAGCCCCTGAGAGCCACACTGGTGGTGAACGGGACGCGACGGGTGAGGACACGGGATTCTCTGTATGGTCAGGACATTGACCAGGCCTCCACCCTGGTGGTGCTGCGGCTGGGAGCAGGAGACCAGGTCTGGATGGAGACTCTCAGAGACTGGAACGGTGTGTATGCGAGCAGTGAGGATGACAGCATCTTTTCTGGGTTCCTGCTTCATCCAGACACTCCCTGAAAGTCCACTTTAGACCAGAGAGTCTCTTCTTCAACCTTTACTGACCCACGAGGACTGTGTCTGAGACAAGACCAAGGGCTGGTGGAGCCACGTTACCACTATTTACTCCTGAACTGAACGTCTGTCAGATTATTTTATTGTTTAATCAACTGTCCTGAACTGTCTGTCAGATTATTTTATTGTTTAATCATCACTTTATCTGTATCTTAATATTTTATCATTGTCTTCTTCTACTGCTGTTTCTATACAAGAAAAAAGTACAAAGATTCCAACATCACCTCTTCTTCAAGGAAGGTGTTTTTCATACAACACTTTTCCACGTCTCACGTTTCTGACAGTATGGATCGGTGCAGCAGTTACTGTTCAACTGGGACATCTGGGGTTCGATTCCTGACTCAGCAGGGCTACATGCAGATGTGTCCTTGAACAAGTCAATCTCGTTTCTCGTGGTGGTGAGCAGACTGTGTGTGTGTGGGGGTATGTGTGGGTGGATGTTGGCAGCAGAACTATGGTGTTGTGCTTTGAATGATCTGTAAGTCTGATATTTGTGACGTTAAACATACCAGCAGAGGGAGACAGAGCGCAGTCTCTCTCTCGCTTTGTTTTATAACGTGTAAACCTAGTATTAAACCGTTTAAACATGTTATCTCAAAGTAGTTATTGATAGTGTGATTTCACTTATATAATCGGTAATATTTACTTTGCCCCGACTGTTTAAAGGCCTATGGTGACGTTTTTTATTTTTTAATTTCTTGCTCTCTAAATAATTAACCAAACATCTGACTAAACATATATATCACAAAATATGTTGTTGACATATTTGACATGAATAATAAATAATGTAAGTAATGATTTTAAATTTTTTTCAATGTGCCCAACACCAGTAAGTGCACAGGAGTCCTAGCTTATCTCCTGTTATCTGTACAATATATACTGTATTATATTTGTATATTGATGTATTTATGCATATATGTATATGTAGATAAACACACATGCGTATATTCACACATATATACACATACAGTATATCGTATACCTACATGCATATATAAATGTTTAGGCAGTTTTACTTAAATTACACCCGAGATGCTGCAGGTCTGACAATATTTGTAGTAATATTTAATATTGTAATTTATATTTGATATATTAATAGTAATATTTTTTATTTTTACAGATTACAAATGTGTGTCGGGTTAGTTTTAAAGACAGGACAGTCACAGTAACAGGAAGTCCACAACAGACCACGTGCATTTTACATTTTTATTAATTGTTGTCATTATCATCATCACACTCCCATGGATGCACATACAGTAATTGTAACACTGCCCCAATAAGTTATATTTAAATAAAAGACAGCGTTAAGTTTCTTTCTCACTTATGATACAATAACACACCCATGTTTCCCACCATGATAATTTTACCCCAGTAACAATGGCTTCTGCGTACAGTGCAACATCAGGTCATTCATGTTGACCGTTTGCATTAAAAGCATCTCCTTAACTACACACTAAGGGCCCAAGTGCAAACAAAAGGTAGAGGTTTTAGCAACAAATGAGAACAAGCTAATGATTAAAAACACTTCAAATTAAAACGTGTCTGTCACACATTCTCCAAACGTTACATCTCTCCCAAATATTTTGGAGACAAGCACAGAGTCGGACAACAACGGATCAACACCTTCCTTCGTTCCATTAAAATTACAGAATGTGCTTTAAAACAAAACAAACTCCATTTTGTTGTAATTTCTTCAAATATCAAACAAGTTTTTAAGTCCAATAATGTTTCACAATCAATTTTTTTTTTTAACAAGTCCATTCCACATTTCCGACAAGCAAAAATAACTTCATTCTCCTAAAAAGAAGCTGATAAACTTTTAGGGTCTCTGATGGGACATGCTTTATCAGACACTCACTCAATGTTTTACTTTGATTAAGTACTGTGCTGTACTGCACTACTGTAAATATTACAGGATTAATGTTTTCCTATTGCATCCACAAGAGTTTAAACCTGTAGAAAAATAAAATCACTGTACATCCAGACATCTGGAGTTAGAGGATCTGACGTGAAAACACCAACCACCGGAATCTTTTTTCACACGTACAGCAGGACGACGACGGGAGGAGTGGACATTAACAGAACACATTCATAGAGCACATATACACACACACACACTGTTCCTGAATTCTTTTTTTTACCTCACACTGACCTCAGGATGATAATAGGACATTATCGCTATTTTTCATTTACTTACCAAACTCATTCTTCTTTTATTTAATTCTCCTCATAAGTTTGTAAATTACTCTGTGATTACTGAATGTCTTTTCCAGGTTTGATGGGTTTTTACCTCTGACATCTCAATATAAAAACCATCATCTGGAGGAAAGCGGATGAACACTGACACCGTCCAAAGATGTAACAACAGTGGTGAAGAGGTAACAAGGTGGTGGACACAGAAGTGGATTTGGAGTGGATTCAGTCAAAGTGGAGTGTTGGTGGAAGGACTTTCCTGAACAGAGAGGACACTGATCCCTGACCCCCCAACAGACCCTGAAACTGTAATGAAGACCAAGCTTTACTGCCGATCTCAAACAAGGACAATGGAGTCATCAATATGGTCTGATCAAATTACCCTGACACAAAAGGGTCATGTGTGAGAATGCGTCAGCATTTACATTCTTGGCAATAAGAAAATTAAAATTCAGTTACTTCATGATTCTGTATTTGTGCGACACAGATTTATAACCTTCATTTCTCGTTCATCCTTATGATGGAACAAATCACTCAGATCAGTGATACCCAACTACCAAATTAATCAATGTCACCTAATCAGTTTTAAAACAAATATTTATGTACAGCTAATCATTTTTTCTACCTGACAGTGACAGGCAGAATAATTAGCAGATTGCTATAAAAAAAAAAGAGAGAATGACTGGGAGCTATTGAAGATCTTTGTTTCTCTTACTTCAATTCCTGTGAGTAGAACAATGTTGTGTTCAACTAAATTCCACACTAAGTGAATTGTGAGTTAACTAGAAGATTGTTATTTCGTTACATGACAATTTTGTTTGGTGGTGCGCTGCAGGGTTATGTAAAATATTTCCCTAAGCCTAGAAGAAGTGCCATGTATTTTCAGTCAACTGAGACTTTTCAAACAAATCCTGCTCAGTCTTTGTATTTGTTTTGTATGTTTTAGTCAATGTCCTGACAATTTGAGCTTGTTTCTCCACACAGCCTGTGCAAATGTAACTGTGTGTACAGACAACACACCTTGAGTGTTTACCTGGAGAACTACAGTAATACTCTAATTTGTTCTAGTTTGTTGGTTTAATCCGGAAAGGATATTTTAAGCAGATGTTTGCGATGGCATCCGTGGAATTATCCCACGACTCGCAAAAACAAACAAACAAACAAAAAAAACAACTAAAGTGCATTTCCCCAAATACTAAACTATTTCATTATTTGTATTTGTTCTATTGTTTTCCAGTGTATTTTCAGGCCCACTGCAACATGAGGATAGTTGGAAATGAATATGAATGTCATGGGAATGACGTCCATACGACCACAACTGTATGTGCACACAAACAGCAAAGTCCAACAGAAGGGAGAAAGGGAAGAATGGAGTAAAGCTTCAATGATTCATCAGAATCCAGCTCTTCACGTCAGCCGGCAAACACCTGCGGCTGCAGAGGTGGAGGCAGGAGCTCGTTCTCCACATTATCAGAGTCAATGGCCGATGAAGCTGCAGACGTCGTTTCCCCCACTGTGGCGGTGGCTGCGGCGGGGGTTTGGCTCTCTGGTGAGAAGCTCTCCAGGACGCTCTGCACCTTCTGTTCCACCTCGTCTGTCCAGTCAATGAGGTCATTCTCCAGCTGACGGGCCTTCTCCATGACGCGCTCCTGCCTCTGTCCCAACCCCGTCAGCAGGTCCAGCCTTTTGTGGACTTGACTGAGAGTGGTGCTGCTGGGGGAGATGGAGGAGGCTCCAGTGGCTGGTGGCCAGTGGGGGGACGCCTGGCCTGACATGTAGAGGTCAAACTCCTCTGTGCTCAGGTTCAGAGACTGAGCGTCCAGCTTCTCAATGAAGGCCACAGCACAGCACTGCAGTAGAAGAAGAAAACTAACTCATAAAAATCCTGTTAGAATGGAAACATTTCTGCTTAAATATCATTTGGTTAGATTCAAACTCAGACAATGAATGAAGGTGCTCTCTTGACAATTTTAAGACATTTTATCATATTGGATTTAAAAAAAAAAAAAGATTAAAATATCTTCAATTTTTTTGCATATTTGACCTAATCACTGGCAAACATGCCAAGTTTGAAAAAAATAAAACCTTCAGCAGAGTTTAGGCTCTAACAACATGAGCAGGATTCAAGGGAAGTGGGCGGGTTTTCAATCAGACGCACACTTGTCAGCTGTGTGGTGGGAAAGTCAAACAAAAGGAAGCAAAGCAGTGAGAAAAAAAGGAAATAAACTTCAAAGTCTGAAACGTTTAACTTGGTTAATAAGGTAAATAAATCTGTAAAGCAAAGGAAGTGATGTGGTGATTACAACAAGGAGCTGGATGACGAATCTAAGGAACAAAAACAGCTCTGGAACCGTTGGAGGAACTCAGACCATTCTGTGATTTTGGAGTCAGGGAATAAGAAGGTAAGCCAGATATTTTTAAGCTAATTTTTTTCCTACATGGAGGCAATGATCAATTCCAACACAATAGTATATTGTATAAATGTCACCCCCTCCTCCTACACACACACACCATTCATTCTTCTTCTGCACACACTCGGTTGAACTGAGCAGAGACTCGACTGTTGTCTGTTTACGTTTCTGTCTTTATTAGGTCAAACTTGTTGCATGCACAAACGCGTTCCTGTTTATGACCTCAACCGCTGTCTGTGCTGTTGGCAGTGATGAGTTAAGTTGTTGTCAAACTCGTGTTGAAATCTGTTGTTTGTCTGTGTGTCGATGCCTCAACGTGTCAATACTACAACACAACACACTCACCAGGTTGGTGAAGTAGTAACCGTCCTCTCCGGTCATCAGTCTGCTGGGGTTGCAGTAGCGGGTGATGTACTGGATGTTGGACTGCAGTCGTGGAGGGTTTGCTTTTAGCACAATGTAGATAAGTGTGGGCAGGAAGTCGTCAGCAGACGCCGCCTCCTTCTTGCTGACCTTGATGGCGTTGAAGATGTGTTTGCTGCAGCGGGTGATGCAGGACAGCTTGTCCTTGGGAACGCGTTTAGAATCCATTTCTATCACATCTGTGGTGTGTGGCAGTGGACAGAAATGTGTCAGCAGAGGGCGCTCACTGACTGGTGTTTTAGGTATGTTTTTACAAACAATAAAGATACCTGTGATGGCCTTTACTACGCTGTCAGAAACCTCAGGGATCTCCTCGTCTACAGGAACACACAACATCTCTATGGTGACCCAGTGCAAGGCTCTGAAAAACACAACAGGTACCAATCATTCATTCATTAATCATAAGTGGATGTACATGTCATTCTGTGAATACTTTAATATTTTAAAAATTGGTTTCATTTTAATCAGATTAATTGAATTAATAGTTCAACACAATTGAGAGGGGAAATATTGATACATTGAAATATTGTGATATTTACTTTCACGATATCTTACCTATATTCTACAGCACTGTATTGAATTTCTTTAAATAATAATTAACATGCAAATATGTACGGTATTTTTGTGTTGCATTTAAACCTCCGACCACTACTTGATTGTACAGGGACTGAATATAAATGTATAAATTAGCTCACTGACCTGATCCTCTTCTGAGTGGCCAGGTCTTTCTTCTCGTCATCCGTGGACTCGGGACAGAAAACTTCCTTGTACAGACGAGTCATCATGTACTTTTCTACCTCATCCATAATGCTCTCCACATGATCTGATGAACCTGTGATATATAGAAGTATACAATCATTAAATATTCAACGTTAAATGTAATCTCAGATCTTCCACAGGGTGTGTCGATTTGTACCTTTGAACTGGGTGTGCAGACGATCTGAGAGGTTCTGGTAGAAATCCTGCACACACTCTGACAGCTCATCTGCACCCATATCCTAGGTAAGCAATGAAGTGAAACAGTTCAGTCCAGACAAATTGTTGCTTTTATTTCAATATAGGAAGTAAACAATTTACATGTATGTATCTAAACTCTTATGATTCAACTCACCCGCTTATAGACCATGCTCTCAGTGAAGGCTCGGCACTGTTTAAAGATCTCCCTGCCTGACTTCAGAGGCCTAAGGAAATCAATGAACTCTTTTGTTGCCTGGTCACTGTCCACAGAGGAATGTCTGCTGACAGAGGAACTTGGACTTGGACTTGATTGTGAGTCCAGGGACGCAGCATCTAAAGAGGATTAATTTAAATTGATGAAGTCACAAAGTCAAACAATGGTAGGAGTTCGTAGTTATGGGTGAACCAGTGCTGATGTGTTGATGCGTCAGGCAAAGATTTTTAAAAGATATTTTGAGATTAGTTGCAACAGTCAGGTGGTGCAACCAGTTAGTCACACGGCACAACTGCAAGGAATGTCACTACGTAATGCTATTTAAAGCTCTATGACTATCCATGACACTTCTTAACTCTTTACTAGTTTTAAATGTAAATCTATTACACACTTTAAAATATTATACATGATTATTTGCACATTTTACACACCACTATCCCCTTAAGAAAACTCAGAGGAAGCACTTCTTGCAAAAAGAAAAGAGAAACCAAATTCAGACTGGGAATACTTTTATACACAAAACGGAGAAACTGTTAAATGATACTTCATTGTTGCCATTTAGAATAGTGTTATAGTGTTGGTTAGGGTTCAGTCTCTATTTAAAAAAAACATTTATTTTGTTGCTGTCTAGTTTAGATTGGTAGCTACTGGGTTAGTTTCTCTTAGTTAGGGGACTCAATTTTAGAAACATTTCTCACTGACCCATCAGCAGTGTCAACATGGAGGAATGTGGCACACTGAATGAGGCGTCATTTATCTATCACTACAAGTATGTGAATTACTGCACTGCTAATACAGAGAAAAAGTTCTGTTAAACTCGAGGTTGTTGAACACACTGGTTTGTTTTATGTTTTGAAGCTATTGCTGAGTCAAACTGAATGTCACACAGGACAGTAACAGTTTAGCTTTGTTCGTGTGAAGCTAAGCCAATCTGTAAATGAAAAATTCCAAGGCTGCCAGGCTGATTCTCTTACCCTTTTTCTGAGGTGTTTTTGAGGATGGAATAAAAAACTTGGTGACTGTGTTGACTTTGCTGGACTTTTCTTTCGATTTTCTTTCTTCAAACTTGCTAAAGGGAGTTGCGTTTGTTGGTGCCTGGCTCTTCTGATGTCTGTTCGCATATGCTTCCTCCTCTTCTTTTTGCAGTCTAGGAGAAAAAACAAAAACAAAGGTAGTGTTAATGTTATCACTTTACTCTAGTGTGCTATTCCAACCAAACCATAATGAACCTGAAAGTTAACAGTTATTACATCTTTATTTTATAAAGTTGCCATTATAATTATTTCTCTCACTTTGTGTTTTTTTGTTGCAACTGACCAAATGTTATTCTCCCAACTCGTTTTCTCCAGGCTTTCTAATGCAGACAGTGGCCTTGCTTGAAGGTGATTTTCTAACTAGTGTTGCTTGTTTTTCAAACTTGTTTTCAAACTACACTTAGTCACTCATTACGGTCAAAACTAAAGACATACTTAGTTTGCATTTTGACATATTTGGTGCTCTCTAGCTGCTATGTAAATGTCCATATTATTTAATACCTGCTATTGCCACTGTACTTAGTGGTCTGTTTAATTTTAACAGTGGCAACCAAGCTTTTGGATTGTTACTGCTTGCGTAATGTTAATAACTACAGCACAAAAAGGGGAGACTGAGTGAAGGCTTTTAAACAAACAGAATTTAATAAAAAAACAAACAAAACAAAAAACAGACAGACCTCTCTGCTAGGGCCCAGTCGTCTTGAATCTGTTTTTGCTTTTCTTTCTGATTCTCCTCTCGCCAGCACTTGGAGCACAAGCCCTGCCAGGCATTGTTGCCATAAAAACCACAGCCTTTTGTGCAAAGCAGCTCTGATTGGTCCACATGGATCCCACGCCGCTGGCTCATCATGCTTCTCCGAAGTCAGGGGGACCGCTGGAAAAACAGAAAATAGGAATTTAAATAAAACAAACAGATCAACAAATGCGATAAGCAACAAGACAGCTGGTGCGTACTTTTAAAAAGGCAGAAACGGGTCTTCATATACTATATAAAGGTCCCTTTTATTTACAATTTAGAGGAACAAAAACGTTTTGACAGCCAAGAGAAATTGGCTGATCTTTTGTTTAAAATGAACAGGGAATCCGATAGGAAACGTATTTGAACGCAACAATGCTGCTTTTGAGGTATACCTTGACATGTAGGAAAAACAGTTACATTTTTTTTATATGACATGACCGTTTGCATCGTACTCGGTTCACGTAGCTCACAAGCTAAACTACTGCTAGCAGCCGAGCTAGCTCTAAACAAGGTGAAAGGTCAGACATGAGTAAAAACAACCTTAACGCCAGCAAATGTGTGTCAACGTACTGTCATATACCCGCAGTGTGAGGAAAAACTGACAAGTCTCCCCAGCTGTACTCTGACGTTTCAGTCTAATGTTTACATTAGCCGAGCAGCTAACGTCGTCCTACTGCCATTTTGGCTAACAAGATTGTTTCTTCTTTTCCTGTTCAAAAACAAGTAGATGGAATTATACGGTGCCATCTAGTGGCTACTACACTAATTGTTTTGATACCGTATGAGTTAAATTAACCAGATAAGGTACTTTTAAGGTTTGATATAGCTTTTAAAAACAGACCAGGACACGAGGAAAATAACATATAATATTTTACATAAACACCACAAACTAGCACCATTAATATGCTGTTCAATTATGGTTTTATTAATTTTCTTTAATTTAAATGTTTTTTAAACAATACTGTATAGATATGACATACCCATCCAGTAGATGAAGTGGAGTAAAATTAGCCCTCTGCAGTTGTAATTAGCTCAGTATGATGGGAGTGTACAGGAAACACGAGGATGTATTTGCTTTGTTACTAATGTAATTAGTTTATAATTTCCAGATTATTCCTCCCTTTAGCACATTATTTCAGTCGTCTGTAACTGGCACAAATATATATTCATACATTTGTCAGAATGGTTACATTTTTTATTGCCACCCATTGTCATTCTACATAGTTATTACTAGAGCAGCTTAGAATTACTGTTAAAACAATTGGTATTAAGCTGAAAATAAAAACTTTTATTTTATTATTTATTATTTACACTGTACAGCCTGTAACTAAAAACCTGCAGAGTCATGTAATGCCATCACATGGTGATCAAAGAGCAGCATCACATCAAAGGTGAGGATGTGATAAAGTTGAAGTTGCACATACAGTCTTAATGATGACAATGGTAGTTGACCTATTAATAAGTGTTTCAGTTGCAGTTGATCTCACTGTATGTCACTGCAACAAAGTCCCACACACTGGATGATGTTTGGACTTTGGTTTTGTTTTAAATATATATTTATTCTAGTTTCTCTTTGTGTTTTTGATACATTTGTAGTTTTAATAGATTTACTTTTTGTACATATTCTCTCTCTATGTCTCTCACTCTCTCTCCCCCTCCCTCCCTCTCCTCTATTAGACGAGTGTCTGTTGCCTTGGGTGATACTAGGCAGATAAAAGCACTGATGAAGTCTGGATTCCCAGCACTCTGACAGCTGCAGATTAAATGAAAGAACTTCTGATAAATCAAACAGGTTACTTTCTCTCCGTCTCTCCACCGCTCTCTCTCTTTCTCTCCCTCCCTCCTCCTCACCCCTAGAGCCCTCATCAGGCGAGGCTGATGTGGAACTTAAAACAAAATGGATTTTATCTTTAAGGGCCTGGGCGGGCTTTGAAACGGTACCAGCTGCCGGCAATTCTTGTTCCTCTTTCTTTCTCTTTTGGACTCATTTTGCTTTTGCCTTTCCCCCCCAGGTACTTGAACAAACTTGAGTCATATTGTGACAGATAAAGGTAGAGCATCAGTTCTTCAAACGCTGACAGTAATTGGAAGATGAAACAGACACATTTAGCTGGTTCTGAGAAGCCCGGTCCATGAAACACCACAGAGAGCACTGCTTCTCTCTCACTGGACCTAACTGAGCTATAATAAGCAGTTAGTAATTCCTAATGCAGTGTATTGGCAGTCAAACACTGTGAGATGAAAATACCAGTCACGTGGTCTCACTGCTGGTCAGGTGAAACAGACCAGAGAGAAATGTCTGTCACTATATTACTGCTCCCTCACGTACAGTCCTCTCTCTGTGTCTCTGTGACGCTGAGTGGATTATTACTGGAAGTCTGTGTCAGACACACGTCGTCTCATTAACAGAGTAGACGTGTGTCCAATTTTGGTTTGATTTATTCTTTCAAAAAACTTTCTCTTTGCATCTTGCATTTTTGCTCTCTTTGCAGAAGTTCTGCATGAATGTCACTCAGTCTGTGAGAAACAACGATCAAACCTTACACTTGTTGTTGAGTTTCATTGGTTGTTTTTTGACCATGGTTCTGGTCATTTTCTTTTAGATTGTTATCAGTGTTTGACAGGAATCTGTGTAAATAGTTCTTGAAGACGTTGAAGTTGTTGTTGGTACCATTGGGAAAGTGCAGTTATTTGGGCTTGTCAAATTCATAGCTGTTACTTGTCTTGTTAGATGTTTTTCTTTAAGTTTGATAAAATTAATGTTGGCCTAATTCTTTGCTTTAGGTTCCTGGATTTGCTGTAAGATGTCATGTGCATGTAGTCGATAGGTTTCAAATTAAAAAAAAGTTCTATTAAAATTGTAAAAAATAATGCAATTTAAAATAAAAATTATATATTAAATAAATTTCCCATTAAACTTTTAAATGATAATTAAAAGAATGAAATTGAAAATGTATATTACTCTATTTGATCTCATGCTATTTTCCTGCACCTTCAACTGTACCTCAGTTTGTACCTCACTAAAAACATTGAATCACTTTTTACTGCCGTAATCTTCCCTGCTTAAAAAATAAAATGACATTATTTGTCTATGTAATTGATGCATGTAACCTTCAGTGTTTTATTGTTAATAAAGTGAAACTGAAACTAACCACTCGATCTTACTCCATAACACGTTATGGGGTAAGATTGAGTGTCAGGCCATTCATCAAACTGTGTGTAATGTTAAACACAATCTCTTCATTGCTGCATCTAATGATGAATTGTTGAGGCAGTAACATATTTGAACACTAGAGAGCAGCATTGTGCAGCAAAGAGTAGACTTCAATTGTTAAAAATATATTTAGGGTTTATTATTGATAAGTAAGAAATATAGTTTGGATAAAGTCGGGTTAATGGAATTGTTACGGTTCTGGTAACGGACTTTAGGATTAATCTAAGCTATGACTAGTTCTCTCTGTCCGTCCGTCTGTTGAGGAAAGTGACAACAGTCAGCAGAAGAGAAATAAGAACTTAAAATACCAAGTTTTAGCTGCTGTCAAAACAGGCCAAACACACTGCGTATGTGAGGGCGTGTGTATGTGTGAAGTAAGAAGGGAAGGAAAGTGGTGCAGACTTCTTCTCGCCGCTGCTCAAACCTGGAGAATTAATAGGCTCGTTTGCCAAGAAAAACACTCTAATCAGTGGGTTTCCTCTCATTAAAAGTTAATTAGTTTGACATGGGTTTCCTGCAGAAGAAAGTATTGGCCACTTAGAACTCATTAGAGCCAAAGGAAAACATCACACTGTGGGGAGCAGAAGGGAGGGGGGAGGAGTGGGAGGAGAAGGTGAGGGACTCACTCTACCTGAAACATCAGCAGAACTGTGTCCTTCAGAAGTGTGTGTGTGTAAGAGAGAGAGACACATGGTCATATAAATGTATATATATATATATATATATAATAGTTCACCACAGTGTGTGTGTGTGTGTGTTCATTCACATTGTTACTTAAATCAACAGAAGAATGAGAATAAGGAATTCATTTTTGCCTGAACTAAAGTTTTAATGTATGTATAAATACTTTTGGTTCTAGAGCCACTGGAGCCTCATTCTACTGTGACCTTTGTACTTTAGACTCTGTCAATTTTACCTTTTAGAAAAATTAAGTCATTTTTGAAAACGTACCCTCCTTTAAAATGTTTCATTTATATTGATATCTATGCAGTTACGGCGTATAACCTCCTCTAAATGTATCTTATGTTTAAATGAAAGGCCAATGATGGCCACTAAAACATTATATATTGTTATATTGTAATATTTAAAAATAATATTCCAATCTTTAGTATGAAGTTAGGATTTAATTTTTAACATTAAAGTACAGAATAGTTTTGCCTGTACACGTTATAAGAATAGTAAAAAAGGAAAAGAAAACATTAAAACAATGAATGTTTAAACTGTTTCTAATATAATCTAAGCCTACTGCTTTTTTAAAATACTCCACCTGGTGTGTCGTATAAGTGCAGCAGGTGTGAGTTGCCTCTCAGCACTGCATAAAACATAATAATCAATACTTTTCCTCAAAGGAAATGACAAAACTCACATTGGAGACAAAGACGAGAGAAGTCATAACAAACCTGAGGGAGAAAAAGAACGAGTGAACGTTGGGGGAAATTCTTAAACCAAAACCTCATCTACCACAGACAGTCTCCCTAATTGAATGTCCATTATAGGACAACACAATTAAATGAAGTAGACACACACACAGTCACTCACACACCCTCCCTCATTTCCTCCTTCCCTCCATCTCTCCACTGCTGTCCAGTCGGCTCAGACTTCCTCTGCTTAATGAATCATGAAGTTTGACTTTTACTTCTTAATAACCAGTGTTTTGCACAGAGCGCTTGGAAAAGGAAGAGTTTGTTTTCCTTTAATTAGCCGGGCAGGTTCCTCAGGCACGGGGCCGAGCGAGTGAGAGACTGTGGGCCTCCGGAGAGGTGGGGCCTGCTGCCAGGTGGCCACAAGACGAATGGGTGTGGGCACAGAGGGAGACGGGGCAGGAAATATAGAAGCATGGTGCTGTGAAACCAGGAACAATGATCGGAAAGGTCTTGAAAAGAAGTGAAGAAAGAAGGCTGAAAAGAAGGATGGAGAGCAGAGGAAAGACCAGGATGGAGGGAAAGCAGGAGACTGTGAACATACTATTTGATGAGGATGTGGATGCTAGATAATTAAGATGGTTTATTATAGCAGTGAACTATGGTTTGATCAGAATTTGTCCAGAGCACTGTCTCCATTTGTCTCTACATCTTTTGTTTTTATGTTTTACACTGGAAATATCCCATACTGCACCACCATACAGAGGTATATATGTAATGAGTAGAGGATCGTAATATTGATCTTTAAGTTTCTGTTAATGCACAACTGACTTAGTATCAAACCTGCACCTGTTTAATTGAACACAGCACTGATATACTGCAGGAATTGATGAAAGATGAACACAAACATCTTCCCTTTTTTTATTGATATAGCCATCCGCTGCCACCTAGTGACATAGTATTTTATTCTTCTGCCCTCACAGTGTCCACATAGACCGTGGGAGATAAATTATTTGCACCAAATTAATAGTATTTATTAAAATCCATTAGCATCAGTAGTGATGGAAGGGAAGAATTAAAGCAAACGGACACTGATTTTTTTATAAAAAATACATAATGCAAAAGAGAACGGGAAGATTGGAAAATTGTCAAAAGAAGTTACAGTGAGAAAGGAAAAATCATTTTTAGATTATTAAATATTACTCCTCCGACTCATGTCTCGCCCAACGTCACATGACGACGTTTCCATCTCTCTGATTAAACAGTTAGTCATTGCTCTGTGCTGTAAACTACGGCCTTTCCACAGACAGGATGATGGAGACCGGCCAACACTGTCTACTGTATGTTATTGCCTACGTGTGTTACGTCGTGTTACTGTGTGAAGTGCACTGCCAAGATGAGGCATCTGTTCGTATGTGAGCCTCGCGTCCCACAGACGGCCCGTCTGCGTTCTCCTGCCAAGCCTACCTGGACCCCTTCACCGGGGCCTGTGGCCCAGTGGTGCAGTTCTGCGCTGCATGTTTACAGCTTCTGGCACAATCAAAGAAAAGTGATGCATTACACTAGTACGACACTAGTATTAGACTAGGATTACACTAGTATGTCAGAGATGTATCAGTACAGTGGAGGACACACTGTCACAGTGTGTGTGTGTGAGGATCGGGGGGGTTCTTCCTAAAACATACTGTTACTGTTTATCGACACATCTGTTTAA